TCAACAACAACAAAATAAAAATTTTTTTGCGAAAACATTTGTGAACTAAAAACATATGGTCTATATTTCCCCCGTAAAATACAATGAACAGCTGAAACTGAATACTTTAATTAATTGGTAATAACATTCAGTTAAACTCCAAATTTTCATTTTATATTATCAATAAAAATCTAATTATTATCATCAATATAAATCAGTTAGTTAACTAATTATAGTTTCACTAATAGATAATGTAAATGTTTATGACTTTCTGATAATGATTATGGCACATAATTAGAATAATAATAATAAGGCTTAATAGTATTGATAACAATCACCCATGATATAACTAATTTAATGACAGTTTCCATTCACATATAACTATGAAATATTTGGTAACATGGTAATTATTTTTCTTCTTTTCGGATTAACTCAATGGTACATTGTTGAGATGTCATGAACATTCTTAAGTCACAGTTCTAAGTTGACAGTTGAATTATTGATTGAAAATTTAAACATTAGATATTTACCTATTTTGTATTTAAAATAACATTTATATGATGAAAACTGTCTATGTAAAATCAACATTTTGTCAAGTAATAGAAGTGTGGTAATGGTAATGGCCAGTTTTTTTCAAAGTGTACTGTTCGATAGTGAAATCGACAATCAACTTTTCGATGTATGGACAAGCGTAACCGGCTACATTAGTTAAAAGGAGACTCTTTATTAGTTGACTGAGTCGGTATATATATATATATATATATATATCCCTTGGAAAATTAGGCCACTAATGGTAGTTTTTATTCCTTAAAAATTAAAGTCACATTTAGGTTAATCACGTTCATTAATTACTTGACATATCACTGATTGACTTAATGTACCAATCAATTGTCATAACATTGAATTATGATTTCGTTGTACCTACTTCATCTTGGTGTCTGTTTATTAGCATCTCTAACGTAAATATGCACAAAAAAGAGCGGCTCAGAAAGTATCTGTACTTGCTAAATAAATTTACTGACTATTTAAGAGAGATTTGCAAAATTACCTCCGGTTATTCGCTAGGAATATTTATTTTTGATCACTAAAAGGCAGAAGAATATAACATTGATATAATTCATTTTGATTTAGAATCATCAAATTTTAAATAAAAAAATTACAATACAGAATATTCAGTACCAAACTGTAAAGTTACTTCATCTGTTCACAGTTTTCAGTCAATTTTCTTGAATAAGTTATCTAATGAAATTTTAGCATTAAAGATTACAATAAAGGATTGTTCGCACTACATATTGTATAATCATGCCATTGAATTAGCTAATTTGTTACTTAATGCCTCAAGCAAAATAATCACTTATTAGCAATAAAAATATTCTTATTTTCCTTTGTAAATTATACATATATATTTGGAAAATTTTTGAGGAGATTATACTACTGAATGTAACAAGTAGTTATGTGTTGTCAAGTCGTTGAAATGTGTGAAAAGGATTATGGCACTTCCGAAATTACTCAATTTATTAACAACTGCGGATTGATACATATATAATCCCCAATTTGATCACAAGCACACTACGTTTTGTCATCACGTAACATTTTACGCATAAATTATTAAACATGACTGATAATGAATTGCTACATTTCATGTTGATGCTAATTTCCAGTAAAATGATATATATATATATATATATATATATATATATATATATATATATATATACTATGGATCAAACTAATGTATATAACATAAGAATCTTAATACGAGTTAGAGAAAGAAATTCAGTCCATCGACAAAATCATCTGTCTGGAAATATCTGAAGCAGGGTTTTGTGACTACTCATTTACTGATTTCTAAACTCAAACATTAATCAGATAAGATATCGTCAAGTTAAATATCATAGTCAACTTTATGATAGGGGCATTTAATAATCAGTGAGCCTGGTTTTTTCATGAGGAGGACGTCAAATAATCAGTCTCATTAATGTACGATAATAAATAGATAAAATAATGAGATTATTGATGACCAATTTTTCGCGTGGTTGTAGTGAAATAAACCACGTCCGCATGTGTCGGTACTCAGAACGCCGAATGAACAATCATACAATATCACTAAAAACCGGATATATATATATAATATATATATATGGCAATTACAGATTTCACCTATCGACAAAATATTTATCTGGGAATATACTTTTTATACATCCTGCAAAATTAAGAAGGGCTTACATGGAGAAAATTAAAAAAGGTGAACATTCTTGAAAATCACTGTATTTCTGCGCTTTCCTATATATTCTTATTCTCCTTTCGTCAAAACTCAGACGGATAACATGGAAGGCGTAAAATCTTGATGATCTTCAAGAAAAATAACAATATAAGCTGAACTTTCTTCCTACATAATTCATTCCAACAAAGTTGGAAAAATTGTTCAAGATAGGGTCAATTTGTTCTTGATGAAAAGAAACTGGCAATTAATTTGGTCTTGATTAAAAAATTTCTTGATGTATAACAGCAGGTTCTATTTCATCAGAGTAATCCTGAGGAAATGTAATAAAACTTCCCAAATCCAGACGATCCTACTCTAAGTCAAGATTAATATGTATGGATTTAGAATTATAAACGGCAAAATTATTTATAAGAACATTGATCGAACGTACCCTGCCTAGTTTCATTCACAAAAATTTTAATAGATTTAAGACCAATATGTAAAATACAGTCAAATCGGCATAATACTTTATCATATATGAACCTAAAACTGTACTTGCTTATATCACAAAAGCTCACAATATTGAAAGCAAACTTTTAAGTTCATTTCCAACCTTGAATAAATGTGAGCTCGTCATAGTCTAACATGTTTCATAAGTTTAGTGTGAATATCTTTATAACCAACGCATGTGTATATAAAAATTCCGATTTTTTTTGGGTAAAATAGAGTTCATATACGACTGACGCAACTAAACACAAGAAAAATAACTAAAACATGGAGTTTTAGTACCAAATAACTCATGCGGATTAATAAGCAGAAGGAATAACCTAGACAGTGATTATTTGGACAACAACTTATTCAATTAATTCAACTAACCATTAAAGTGTACATCTGACAAACCTTGGTCTATCATGTGACTTTATTAACTCCACTTGTTTGTATGGAGTTTAGTTTATCATAAACGTGAATTCTACTAAGCTAGATAACAGAAAGATGATTAATTTTTATTGACTTCATTGGCGTTATATTTGACTAATACAGTTCTTACTGCTGAGACAATTTAGTAAAATGTGTTTCATTTTGTGTTTTTTACCAACCACTAAATGAATTGAACCAAAGAAGCATGGATAATCAGCTTATAATTCTTGAAGTTTCGTCAGTAAATTAGTTTTATTTGGTATTCACTAACCATAGTTTGACAGTTATCTTACCATAATACAAAACTGATTTATGCTAATTAAAGTATGTTGACGTCTCTCGAAGAAATTTCCAAAATGTAGTTTGACCTAAAATACATGATCACATTCAGGATTGTTTATTGAACTTACTAGAACACGGGTCTTCATCAACTCAATGATAGATCGAATAAGTATTCTTCTAACTATGCTTCAAATTCATTTGACACTTAGTATAATCAAACAAAAATTTGTAAATGACATAAAGCATTTAGTACGAAATTTTGTTACGCCTTCACAAATTAGCTAAATCCCCGTTGGTCCATAAATCATAAACATTGGGAGTGGATCATTCTCAATTGTATGATACCTTTATCCGCATAAACAAAAATATCGGTGATGATTAACTGTTGAATTAACTTAATCTAATCAAGAGAACAACAACAAGGTAACAAACAGTGCTCCTATACTGGACACTACACGCAAGATTGTTAGTAAGTAGTGTTTAGCAAAACTTGGCTTCGAAGTTGCAACAGTTGTCAAACGGAGTGAAGAGTTTCAGTGAATCGGAAGCACGAAGTTGGGAGAACACTGGAGGGCCAGATGAGATGGTTCAGACTGCAGAGCACACCGAAAGATACAAATAGATGATTGAATGTTATGCATATGGACTAAGTAAATACTTTTTAACTTCCAGAAGCTATTATACGTTCCTCCTGCCTATTGTCATGTTTTACACTAATTTTATATTACTTTTAAAACACGGTTCAATTTACAAACCAATTAAGATGATTTTCTTAGGATTTAGTTTATAAATTGGCTTTGCCGAACTACGTACTTCTTATAACAGAGTCTCAGTACAGCTCCTCATTCAAAAAAAGTATGTGTTTGAACAAATGTTGTTTCTAATTAGAACAGCTTTATCAATTTTAACTAATATCGACAGGCTACAGCCCCTTAGGATTAATCGTATTTCAGAGCTAACGCCCATGACTGAAGAAGAAAAATCTACTGGCATGTAATAAAGTCTCAAAAGGAAAATATTAGGTACACTTTGTGAATCGGAAATGAAACAGAACATTTTTGCACAACTATCAACAAAAACGAACAGTTAGATTTTATCGAAGTAAACCTGAATTCAATTAAGGCAGTTCGTCCTGTTCTACTTTACGGATGCAAAACATGGTCATTAAGGGTAGGAGATATTCGTAAGCTACTAGTATTTGACCACAGATGACTTAGAAATACTGCCAGCATCTGCTGGGATCACCGAGTAAGTAATAGTGAGGTAAGATGTAGAGTATTATAGAATGGTGGTAAATCAGCTGATGAGGTTGTGAATCTTCATCGACTGGGATGGTTGGGCCACGTATTACGTATGCCTGAACAGCGATTACCACGACGTGCAATGCTGGAGATGGTTGGAAGAAAGTTAGGGGCGGCCAAACCAAAAAGTGGCGTCAGTGCTTGAAGTCACTAACCTCTAGTCTTAGCCATGTTGGTACATTCAGACTACCTTGTTGGGGTCCGCGTGATTATCATAACCAACGGTTGGAGAGTGAGTGACATGGCTCAGAATCGATCACAATGGCGTAGGTGTATACACTCTTTGTCTTCCCTTAAACCGCGAGATTAAAATTATATATAACTGATCTGTTTATATTGAAAACAATCTGTTTTACTAACAAAACATTCCATAAATACATATTTACACCCTTATAAGTAATAAATATAAAGTCAATCTGTTCGCAGACAAGTAATAACAAAATGAATAGTAGAGATAATAATGATAAAATAAACATTGAAGACAATAGTAATAGATTGACTTGACCATTCCTAGTGAAAATATTTTAGACAACTAATAAAGACGAAGTAACGTGAAGAAAATGAGATAAAGAGAAAATTACTACTTTGAAAAAAAAACGAAAATTAGTCATTGTCATTATGAAAACATGAGTAGACAGGTAGTTGATATCTTACATATGTGTAAAGTGTATTTACAAAGTGTAAAAGGTATAGCCATACACATATGACATCACATCATGAAATAGAAAACCATCATAATACTGAAGTCAACGAATTATTGCAGTAAAAGAATAGATTTCAAATATTTATATACTAAACATTTCCAATGTGAATTTGCCAAGCCAATAAGAGACCGTCAAAACCAGTTGAGAAGAGATTGTGAACACCTTCATTTGCCCATGCAACACAAGTTACCATACGAGAATGACCCTGTACATCAAGAAATGTTTTAAACACAAAATATTAATAATTAGAACAAAGTTCGAAATATCGTTTTTATTCTATAATATTTTTGTAGCCACTTGATAAATGAATGTTTGTAAAATTATATGACAATTGAGATTTCAAAATGCTATTTTTACGAAGAATGATCAAAATATCAACAATATTACTAAAACAATACTCAAATAAAAATATGTGCATAATACAACGAATATATGATAAACTAGGCAACATAACTAATCATTTTATTTGATTGATCAAACTTGAACAAATATAGTGGACCTCGAATATATTAACCACTCGTTGGTTTAATAAAAATCTCAAAAGTATTGATTTTTAAACATGACATTAGAGAAATTACTTGCTTTCATTTTCAAAAGTGCTTAAAAAACGACTACTAATATTTATCATAATCTATTCCGTTGACTTTAAATAATATACTGAATCCCTCAGACATAAACTACTTGTGAATTCATTTAGCACTATTAATCTATACTATGCTAACTACCATTAGAGTCAGACTAACACTTAGACGAGTCTTTTAGAGCCTCAGTTCAGAGAATATACTTTCCCCAGACAATTACATATGTTTGACCACCAATGCGTCATACTATCTGACAGAAGTAGGTTAGAAAGAGGTTAAACGTGGCCAGACCAAAAAATGGCATTAATACATAAAGACACTGACTGACGATCTGGGCTATGTCGATAAGTGGAGATTTCTCGGTTAAGACCTATGGTACTCGTAATTAACAGTTTTTTTGGTTAGGCAACATGGGGCAAAATTAACCATAATGGTTCACCTAAAATCATCTCCTACATTTCTCTAAATCTCGAGTTAATCCATTCCTGATACTTTATTCATCGATCTGGTTCTCTTAAACTGTGCTTCACGATGTCCAGACTTCAACTGTTTTCGATGGTATTTCTAATCTTATGGTTTTCACCTTTTTGATTTCTTCTTGCTGTACTGATTTAAAGTGTAGCGAATTGGATCGACTAACATTAGTGTTAGGTTTTATGTTGAAGACAGCTGACAAGAAAAGTTAATTCGAACTTACTGCATTCATTCCACACTAATTAAAAAAGGATAGGATTTAAAACAATTTAACTGATATCAGATAAAAAAACATGATAACTGTAGTCCGTTAACTGGAAACACTATATAAGACGAAACTTTTGAAAAAATTCATATCCTCGAAATTTTGCAGTGAAAACAATAAGAATAACAACATAACACAAGAAATTAGCTGAAAAAGCTATAGTAACAAAATTTAGGAGGACATTTCAAACGCTAATCAATAAAAGGAATACTACTCCTTCGTAAACGCAAATAATCGAAACTCACATGTGACGATCTAGTTAACCGACCAATTCTGTTGCCATTTACATCAAGTAGCTTTATTCCTCGATTGACCAGCGGTAGAGCAATATACTTGGGGTAACTGGAAGGACAGGGATTATGAACTGAAGTACTTAACACAGACCCATGTTGAGCAGCTTGAGATGGAGCTTCACTGGAAGACGATCCAATTACAGTTGGAGCAGGATTAATTGTTTCTGTTGGCTGATATGATACACTTGGTCCATAACCAGACAAACCCAAGCGATTGATTGCTGCATCGGTTCTAATGCTAACAACTGGACCACGGCTTTGTCTCAAGTCCCAAATACGACAAAACCTATCAGCACCAGCGCTTATAAGACGTTCAGGAGAACCGGGTGCCAAAAATTGTGTGGTTGAAACTGTTCTGTTGTTTTATAAAGAGTATGAAAATATGAAAAGAAAATCAAAAAAACATAAACATAAAAAATGAAGTCAAGTAAATTAGATCAACGAAACAGAGTATGTATTTGAAATATGAAAGACAACTTACTGACTATGGGCCTGTTGAACATGAACCCGCATTCCTGGTTGACGAAAATCCCACAAACGAAATGTACAATCCCTTGACGACGTGACAACAACAGGAAACCCACCTGGTTCACAACGTACATCTGTCAAATGATCATCATGTCCCGTAAGTGATTCTAGCTCTTGTCCAGTTGCAAGATCATATGTTCTACCTAGACGATCCCACGATGCTGTCACTAACTGTTCTCGTCCGTAAACAAAATCAGCAGCAGATAAAGGTGATGAGTCGATAACATTGCATCCTGAAGCACCAGTAGAATTCCAAACTGTACCAGATGATGATAAATATAAGTTTGCAGACTGAAATATTGCGTGAGGATGTCGAACAGCGATAGGTGGGATAGCGGCAATGCGAACTGGAGGATCTTTACCATTAAATGATCAGAACAACAAAAAATATTTAAATTCAATTAACGAAGAAAAAAGTAATTTTATGCAATACACTTGAATGAGGTTAAAAAGAGAATAAAAATAGGATTATTTATTAGATTTACCTTCTTCTGTAGAACCAACTAATAAATTCATCGTTTCATCTGAATCATACGAACCAACCGGATCAATCCCTGACTTGATAGCAGTTCCTACATTTTAAAAGATAGATATAAAAGGATATTACATTATCTAAAATGTGCAAATTGAATATCTTGAAAACTGAGTAGCTGAACAGCTTAAGCCTATAGTTAAAAGTTGTTTAGTTGGTAGACTCTAGACATTATTTGAACTTACCAACTAGAAACGAACGTAGATTAGAATGTTACAGCCCTCTGACGATAAGACCAATCCATACGATCCGAAGCTTTTTGGAGCATAACGTTCCAAACTACTCATAAAAGTAACAGTAGTTTCAAGTCTTAAGACTAATTTGATTGGTTGCTACAGTCAAAAAATGCACACGTCCCCAAGACAGAAAACACAGATAATGGACATTTAGGATATTTTGTTTTTTCTCAAGTCAGTCGTGCTACAAAAATTATGCCCAAAATTCAAGTTATATTATCAGTGCTTCAAAATCGGGAAATCTTAGTCTTAATCTACAAAAATTTAGCGTAGCAATGAATCTGTACACGTCGAAGTATTACGCTGGAAGGAACAATAAATTTGAAGTGCGAATAATACAAGTACGCAAAACTATCACGTTACTTATCATGAAAACTAAAATAGCCAGATAATTACGTGAACTGGCTGACCACCTTTAAATAACGTTATAACTGTCAAAATAAAGCATTTAGGATATGTACCACAAATATCCAAACAATATTTATTAAGTTCATCTAAGTAGCTGCATATTTGAAGTAGATTAAACGATCTGTGGGCTGAATTAGTTTGAGAATATCATTATTAACTTTCGCTTCAAATGTAGCAATAAATAAGATTATCAAGAAAGACGTACTTGGGTATGATATTTGTGAAGGGATGAAAGAAGTCCACTTCTGTCTCGAGTTGACATTCATTAAGTTGGTTAAACAATCAAAGCCTCCCAAGAGCACCACAAAACTATTACACAGTAACACTAAATTTCTTATTATCATTTAGTTATTGTTTAGCGTAAAAAAGATTCCAACTATAACAATATCACGAACCTGAAATTGTACTCATTCCCAAACCCATAGGACTTGTTCCAGCAGTTTCTGAAGCAAGAGCCGAGGCGACGGCATCCAATGCAGCTCCTGATGTGTTTCCACTTGTAAGTGAAGTTGCAGCTTTAGTTATTAAATCAAATGGCAAACGAATAAGGTGGGCAGTTCCATCTCCACTAGATGTTAACATTAAACTGTCTTTATTTCGAAATCGAACAGAGTTTACTGAACCTGAATGACCCATATAGACTAATAAACAACTAAAATAAATAATTTTTTAAAAATGGAGAGAAAAATTTCGTTATAAGATCACATAAATGTTTGTAAGAAAGGAATGAATATATTTATATAGAGTTATCAGAGTCATGATGATGAAACCCTACTACAATGTTGTTCGAATAAAAAGTGGAAGTTAATACCTGAAACTGGGGTGATTTTTGTCATAATGATTAAGTTAAAAATATTATCTATATCCAAAGATTAAAGCACATGAAATGACCTTTCAATGTATATCTAGCATCTGAATGTTAAATGACTAATTAAATCAGTGACGCCATAGAATAAATGTAAAATATTTTCACATATCTGAGTGCATATACTAAAATTATACATAAAATTCGGAAACACTAGTGACCTTACGTTCTATTAAGTACCTATACTTAGTGATTAGTTATTCGTACATAATCTTAAGATCAAATACAGTCTCTGTAGTTGGCAATTGATGATATTAGATTGTATGTACCAAGAAAAACAGAATTGTCAGTTTAGGGTTGGGGAGGTTATCGGATTTCATTAAGATCACGAATCAACCTATGATAACCTGTAAAAGTATGAAAGCACTGTGCAGCCATTTCCTTCTAATATGGGGCTCCTCAACAGTGTGCATTCACGACCCCGTAACCGAGAAGAGAACCCAGAACCATTCCGAGTGTGAAAAGGATATCCAGCGAGATCGAGGAAAGATGGTTGGGCAATATCATGGATTGATTGAAGCTAAAATTGTGCTACATTAGGTATTGCTAAGTGGTTCTTCCACAAGGTCGAAGGTTTCAGGTTTGATTCCTAGTTGTGGGGTCGTGGATGACCATTACTGAGGAGCCCCATAATAAAATACACTAATATAAGAAGTAACTTAAACAATGAACGATTCAGGACATACTGTATATATATGCCACATTAACTTGATCAATGATATCCATCAACTTGTTAATATTTACATTTGAAAACTTAAATTTCTAATGGATTTAACTGTTTGTTTACGCACTTGTTTACTTGTGCATAATTCTAAAAATGAACGTCATTTCTTTCGACTAACCCATGAATCATGTTCGTTCAAATTCAGGCTAATGTATTTCTAAACTCAAACTTGGGACCGATTTGTATTGTCGAAGGATTCGATAATGAAATAGACATAAGTAGAAAAGTCTCAGTTCTCCACCCAATTATATAGTACCATCCGCTATACATCTATAAACAATACCATACAACACAAATTCAAAATTGCAAAGTAACAATGATAGGGATATTATCAAATGATCAATGTATACAATAGATGTATTTAAAATTAAATATAATCACCATATCTTATTACTTTAATTGACCATCGTTAATCCAAAGACGAGCAGTATTGTCAGCAGATGCAGTCGCAATAAACCTCCTGAATGAAGTAACCTCCCATATACCATCTCTATGTCCAGCCACTCGATTCATCAACTGGAAATTTCCATTGTGTCCTGAAAAGCTTCCAGCAAAAATGGCTGTCCCATGTCCAGTTGTGCTACCACCACTAGGCAAAGCAATATTCCCTGAATAATTTAACGGACTATTGACGGCAACAGAAAGAGTATTTGAAGTTACACCAACACAAGTTGTAGCTGTTATTCCTGGTTGGGTAACCGAATATGTGCATCCTTGACCTATATTACTGGAAGAATGACCTGTAGATTGACGAAGACTTGAAACTAGACGAGATGTGGATTGTTTATATTGTTGTTTGATACGCTGTGACAACATACTTGCCCCCACTATGTAAGAAATGGACAAAAGTATTAACATGAAGTTTTAAAAATTAACGACTGAAACTACAAACAATCTTTGAAAAAGGGAATAAATCTTCTGACATAAAAGTGAATCTTCGACAAACAAAACTATAGATCTACAAGATTTATATCTAAAAAAGGTTTGATGAAATTAGCAATTCTAACGTATATTCACTGAACGTTTACCTATTTTTACCATAGTGTAAATGTTTGCATACTAAACCACCATAAATTACGGCGATCTTGTGAGCAACAAGCTGAACATTACTGGTGAATATTTTAGTCTTTTACTATTTTATTCAAGGTTAGACGTTTATCAAAAGCTTACTGTTTGTAACTTGACAGTCGATCAACATATTTACGAAGACTTTATATACTGACTAATAGGGTAAAAGAACAAATGGATGAAATTTCAAAGCGTAAGTTACCAAAACAAAAGACTGGAATGCATACTCAACCAGAGATAAGATTACTTTCCATTATAACTATTCATATTTACAATCATTAAGAAAAAATGGTACATGAATTGTCGAGGAAGATAAAGTTTACTGTTCTCCGAAGTTTCGATCAAATATATCACCTAGTTTGACAATGAATGGCTTCATGGTTAGGCATCAACCTAATATATTTTTAAATTAATGATACGCCAATTCAATTAAGTAATTTATTACTTTAATAATTTACAAGGTACTTGGGCGCGAGTCACACTCAAAATATGAGGTCTAATGACACTATTCGGCTGTCCAAACCGACATAATAAAAAGCCTACTTAGCTACCATGAGAAGTAGAGAAATGAAAGAAGATACTTAATGGATTTATTTCGAAAAAAATAGCTATCTACAAAATTTCACCAAAGAATCTTTATGGAACCGACGGTTAACACACAACCAACAACAAAGATCAGCGAACGAATAGTTTTACACTACATTAAGAACATCTCTGGGACCAATAACAGATTATTAAGACGACTAAGAATAAGTGTAGCCCATAAGCAAATAAAATTGCTGCAAATAATTTTATGCAAACTGTTATATCCTTAACTTATACGATTACCGCGAATATGATTGCCAAATTTAGATACGCGAACTTATACGACCAACAAATGACACATACACCTGAACGAACGGCCTAGAGCCCCGATTGATCCTTTTCCTTGCCTGTTAAATCCAGAACACATCTCAGCCACCACGATATAAACCATATATTTCAAACACTCGGTTTATATACGAGCCAAACAGACCACATCACACCAGAAATATAAAATAACATTTGCAAAAGACCAAGCCGAAATGTGACTATGATTGTGGGAAACTGTGATTAATAAACTAGGCATAACTTAAGAATAGTGAATTGTATGAAAGTCTGTAGGTCAAAATAAAGCTTATAATAAGAGGAATACGAATATACGTGGTTTAGTTACTTAACGACTATACAATAAAAATATATGTATAGTATTAGTCAATAAGTAGATCGCAACATTTACCATTCATTATTCTCGTCGGGATATAACACAAACCAAAGGACATAACGACCAACTGAGACAAGCCAGAGATCATATACAAGATAAATTGCTACAACTGTGACAAACATTATGTAGGACGAATTGGCTGTCCTCTGCGTCTACGTCTATACGAACACCAGTTATTTGTTAAACGATGCAACATAGTTTCGCTGATATCAATTGACGTGTGGGCGAAGACGATAATGATTGGTTGTTTGCTTAGTCAGAGTTGTAGATAGTCTGACAGGTGCTAGATGAGTTACATATTCTCTTACCCTTATTATTATTGTATTGTTGTTGGGTTGTGTAGAGCTGTTGTCGGCTTTGGGCGTGGAAATATATTTACGTTTTAGTCAGGCTAATCACGTGTTCTTGATCTGAGTTGTGTTGAAGCTCTGTAGAATAGACACTGAGAGGGAATCTAATGTAGATATTCGTCTAAAGCAAATTAACGTCCAATCCGTGTAGACGTGGAAAACGTAGCGTTATAACATCAATGTATGTAGATAACTGTGAACATGAGTTCGACCAAGAGAAAGTTAAAGTATTTGATAAAGGAAATATTAGAAAAACAAGGGGGTTTTTGAAAGCTTGGCACTTCAACCAAGCATCATCAGCAGACAAATCGAAATTAGCCAAATCTATCAGTCAATAAGAAGTTATCAACAACCATAAAGTCATATTTCAGATCAGAAGAGAAAAAAGTTAAAGAAAACAGACAAGAAAAGATTATACAGTTATAGATAACAAGTAATCAGATTTTCAGATCAACATAGAGAAATTCTAATAGCTCATTTCTCTTTGAAGTATGTGCCAATGTTGATCAGAAGAACAATGAAAGCTTAACAAACCAGTCCACCGGGTTTACAGACAACAACACATTCAATAGATGGTTATATTTATTACTAATATACAGGAAACCCACTTACTAATAAGTGAAAAAATGTAACATTCAAAAAATTATATGAAAGAACAAAGCATACAAGATACGTTCTGAATATTTATATAGAAAATCTTTCATTTAAATAGGAATTTAATGAAACCCAACTAACTACAGAACGACGAGGTTCAGTAACAGTAAAACTGTGCATTCACAATCTAAACAAAACATTCTGTGCTTCCCCAGTACGTTTTAACGCCTTCCGTACAACATGCAAAATATGAAGGACACAAATGTTTTAAACCCAACTAGTAGTAAATTTATAGCATGACGGTTATCGCATACACACTCTGTTTGCCGTATATTTTTAAGAAATTTAATCTATTGCGTGATCAGAATGTAACCCTCAACCCCCAAATCTGGTGTTTGTCTGGGTCATGTTATTTATTTATTCATTTGAACACAAATATTGGTAGAAAGGGGCACCGAATACATATGTGCCACACAAGTCACTTGATTTGTGTGAGGGCTGTGATACTGCCCGGGTTCCAAAACCGAAGCAGGTAGTTTTCTCAGAGGCCACACCCAGAGCCCTTGACTTAAAGGTCTGATTCACAAAGCAACGGAACGACGTAATGAGATGCGATCCCATGGTAGCCAGTGATCAACACTTGGTTCATACGCCATTTTTCCTTCAGGATACTGGAGCCCATGTACACCATTGGTTTGGAATCAGGGTTTCCCAGTTCCCCTAGGTGGGCCATCCGTGTCCACCAACCCGGTTAAAGCGCCGGACATTCCCTTTTCGTCCTCACAATTTCGTAAACAACATCGCCGCCGTGAGAAGGTGGTGAGTAGGACTTCCTAGGCAGTGGCTGTATACGCGTGGCCATGTGAGAGCATTTCGAGAGGAAGAGCTAACTCTCTCCACCCTCGGCCGTACCAGAGCATATAGGTCACGTATCTTGTAGGAAATTTAGTGCTCCGAAATTCCGTCGTAAGTTTAATTTTATGTTGGCCAGTATTCGCCGAACATAGAGCACAGGATTGTTTGGTGGACGCTGGTGTGAAAACTAGTAGACAAGAATGTTTTCAAAAGTGTTCCACATAAAACCTCAGACATTACGCTTGCCGCAAAAACTATACATAGTGTTACTGACACTACGACTCTTGCTTGTGGAGACTCAGACAACATAGAACAGTTCTCGGTACTCTTTAGTTGTATTTATTACTTCTATCTCAGTAACGGATTCAAATCAGGTCAAATGTTATTATCATGGGTCTGTTAGTCAGTGTTACTTTATACAAACAATCGAAAGCTCTTATTTCAGCAATGGATATCTTTAAAGATAAAAATAAACACAACATAGTACAAGAAAGTATCCTCTTGGAAACTAATGAAACTATAAAGAATTTATCAAAATGTAAAACTTACATTTTTTTACCAAGGTTATTGTTTCTGAATGATCACCATCTTCAAATTTCTCCAAACGTTCTTGTACTTAAAAATTTAAAATAAAATTTACATAATAAGTGTGTTCCAACAGAATTATTTTTAATCGAAATCGATTCAGCTATAATCATAATAAAATATGAACTCCTGAATATATTGAGTTACTAAATAAGAGTAGAAAACGTACAAAAAAATTAAGCCTTAATAAATAGCATTAATTAAGAAGTATATTTAAATATTCATCTAAAATATGTTTCTATGTATACATATGTGTATGTTAATATTGTAACAAAAATGAAAAAAAAATAAAGGCAAAAAACTATGTATGGAAGACACAGAAACAATTTTTTTTAAAGCTAAGATTTAAAATTAGTTAATATATGAGAAATGTGTTCAGATTCATCCTAATAAAATAATAACTGGTTTGATGACAATTTTCTTATTTGTACTAAACAAGTAAACTTGAATAAATACTGTTTCTAGTTATGAAATTGTAAAATGTAAAATTCCAAAAAAAATCCTACCGAATATAGAGTACTAAAACAAAATTGATTTTAAAAAGTTAAGAGATAAACTGTAAGAAAATCACTTTCCCCCTTTTTAATCTCATTCTGAATAAATTAAGTCTGTAAGATTAAACAGAGTACAAATAAGTCACCAAGATATTCACTGTTGAATAGAAAGAAAATTTATTTAATCTCACAGATTGAAATCATGAGTCAGTTGAAGCTCGACCACCATTGAAAACCTGCTGAGGAGTCCCATACTAGGACGAAACGGCCGTCCAGTGCTTCCAGGTTTTCAATGGTGGTCGAGCTTCAAATGATTCATGATTTCAATCTGTGAAATTTCTAAAATCTCCACAAAACCCATTCTGATATATTTAATCGACAAAAAGTTAAGTGTTACTTAAGTTTTTAAACATTTGATGAAAAGTTAAAATTAATGAACATTTTACAAATGTTTACAACACTCAGAATAATTCAATTCAAATGAGATGAAAATATGTGTAAGAAATATGAAATCATTTGAATAATAATAAACCGATCTGTTGATTTTTAAGCTAATTACAAAAATGGCCAAACAAATCCTACAAACATTTATGTAGAAATTCAAATATATGTAGAAATATTTGTTAGGACTTACTCCATAGCACTATTACCAACTTATTTTCCGATTACTACTTTAAAAATCTAACTCATTATCGAGAAAGACCCGAGTTCCTACGCTTTCACCAGAAATAAGGAATGTACTATTAATTCTTGGTGGTCTGGATGACAAAGTAAAAAAATTGATAAGGTAGCTGATCTTTAAACAGCCTAAATCGGTTAGGTTGTTTTACTCAAGTAAAGGTACTATCTAACTTGGATTAAAATAGCGATCAAACTTCGAGTAGAATAAAAGCAGCTTGTGTTGACAAATTGATATATGAGATAAACACAGGCTATCATTGATTGGCGAAGTCCAGATAGTCTGAAATCAGCGATCGATAAATGACAACGATGTGGAACGAGTTTTTAAATCTATAAATCCCTCTTAATAATATCCCGTTTATTGACTTAAGCCCGATTTATTAAATTTAACATCCTCTTGTCTTTATTGACTACTCTTACCCTTTTCTTTTAAGTGTTGTTACAAAAAGTAGCAATTTACAAACACTAAACAAAAATATGACAATAGGGTTCACACCCATATCTAATTTAACAACATGGTTTTCGATGATTGTGCTGACCACTCTACTAGCCAGTGAGCATATAGAAGTAGACGAGAAGTTCGGGTATCTGGGTAGCTGCATAAGTGCTGGTGGTGGCGTGAATGATGAGATCAATACACATATAGTGAAAGCCAAAGCGGCCTATGCCAATCTGGGCCATCTTTGGCGCCTTCATGATGTTAGTCTGGCTGTAAAAGGTCGGATCTACAATGCGTCGGTGAGAGCAGTTTTGCTCTATGCTTGTGAAACCTGGCCTCTCCGAGTTGAGGATGTTAGACGACTCTCTGTGTTTGGTCCTCGTTGTCTCCGAAGGATTGCTGACACCCAGTGGCAACACCATGTCAGTAACGCAGAGGTTCAGCATCGTGCGTTCGGGAGCAGAGACTTCGGTGTCTTGGACATGTTCTATGAATGTCGTCCGAGAGAATTCCACATCGTGCATTATTTGCTGACGCTGGGACTGGTTGGAAAAAGCGGAGAGGTGGTCAATGTATGACACGGTGTCGGGGTATGAAAGAAAGCTGCAACGGGCTGGCTTCTGTTGGTCCTTCACGACTCCCTGTTTGGGGGTCCGAGAGATGGTGAGACACAGTGGCTAGAGACCTTATCAGATATGGCTCAGAATAGAAACCAGTGGTGATCCTGCTGCAACGTTCTTTTACTTTCTTCATAGAAAAGTGGTTGCATCTTCTTTAGCTGAAAGATTTCTTCTGGTTGTACCTTTCCGTTTCCCCCATTATTATTATTATTATTACACTGCCTTACACCAATCTGGTCGTTATTGTTCTTTTCTTTCTTTTACGCCCCTTACCTTCCTCTTTTTTCTCTTCCCACTCTCATTGTTTTGTGTGGCGCATATACATTTGGTGCCCCCTTGTACCAATGTTTGCGATCAAATAATAATGATAACAATACTAGCCGGAGTTGCATATTAGCTCTAGAAGATTGGTGATCCAAAAGATATTTGAACAAACAAAGGAATCTTAATTGGTACGAGTACAAATCAGGAATTGGGTGCAACATATAAATCTATTTTGTATTACTATGCAACTAAAATTCATGGGAAGGGATATACAGCATAACACTAAACGACTTCTATTATTAGCAACTGAAGTAATTCAATATATGTGTAGATGGTATGTGAGAAAAGTTGGAATTCTTTCATAATTCATTTTATAAATGTTATTTACTTAGATATATCGAAGATTAAAAAGGTATGATTTATACAAATGTTTATTTTTTTGCAGAAATAAACCTATCTGGTAATGGTCTTAATTTCTGAAGATTACTTTGTAGAAACGTTCAAATATGATTATTTCGACCAACAAATAATTTCATTCTTGACAACCGCCCGTAAGTAACGATATTAATTGACTTGATTATTAATAAATATCCATCATCCCCGTAATAAACTTGCCAATTCAACAAAAATTTACCTAGATTATCAACTTAGATAATCGTTCAGAGCTTAAAAATGATAAGTTGTCTCACTTCTAAATACTAATAATCAAAACGTTACTACTAGATTTCATTTTATCTCTGGGGCACTATGAAATATGTTCAAAAAATAATTGATGAAAAAAATGGAACACTACGTGTGAAATTAAAGATAAAACTGGTTTACATACATGCTAAGTTTTCGCTATATAACCTTCTATACTCTCGTTCAAATTCACGTTCGATTCGAGCAAAATGTTTATGAAGTCTTTGCCTGAATTCTCGAGGTAAAACGGATTCAACTGGACCAGTGTATTCACCCATTAAATGACCTGTTAAATAGTTATCCTCCTCGCCAACTCCACTTGATATGATAGAATTCGGGATAACATTTGTAATACATGTGGAAACAGGTGCATTTAATGTGTCAGTTACTATGACTTCTCCATCTGATGGATTTGTACGTAGAGCTGTAAACATTGTGTGGCTAAACCCTCTTTTACAATCACAACACTATTACAACCTGTAAGAAGTAAATCATTGATTTAACAGAAAAAGTGAAAATAGCTAAAATGAAACAACTGGAAAAAAGTTATTTATTTGTTAAATACAGGCAAACTCTGAACATATTGATCAAGTTTTTCAGAAAAGACCTGACTTTTAATAGGTCCTTCGGATTTAATTAACGGGTTTTGTGAAACGTATTTTGTATATATTTGAAATATCCCTTCAAGTTCATCATTCATTGGTGCACAAGAGTTGTCAGTGGTAAGAACAATTTTCATTAGTGTAGGGGTTTCGTAAAAATGAAGACGATATGTGTTAGTAACGTAAGAAAAACGATTAATTTCGTAGTCCAACGGTGAAATTTTTTGACAAAATCCTTTTAGACCAATTAACATACCACGCATCAACTTCAAGTCGTTATCAGATGGACATTCACCTTGCTTTGTTGGAGTCCATTCACGGTAAAATAGGTTATCACCATTTTTTCCATATATATATAAGTTATACACCGTCATCTAAAACAATAACAATGCTAAAATTAGCATTTGATATTCATCATTTTTGGCAATGAACACAAGTAGAAGGACCGGTAAAGACTCTAGACTGCTCGCATGGGTTTTATGCATCATTGGTCCGGTCGATAAATTACTGTTCTCTAATTGAGGGTATCATTACGTTATACAATAATACGGCACAAAACCACAAGACATAACACGAACTTTTCCCTATCCCAGCCAACATTACATGTTAAGTTCGGAAATGGTCGAGAATACGTGAAATACCTAACTACTTCATTAGATGACAAGTCTCCGTCTCATCAACCAGCTTATCAACTTTTCTTAATTAAGTAAATGATATATCGATAGCAGCCCTTCAGTTGCCATAGAAGAGAGGAATGTTAAGAATGATTTCAAGCAAAAACGAAAAGCCAGTGATAGAGGGTTATCTTTGTAGGTCATTATGGATATTAACTAGCTCACTAGTCTGGCCGACTAGGGATATTAATTGGTATGGTTTAGCGTTGATTTCGTCTCGTCCAACTAGTCAATCACAATATTCGAAATAAATACAAGATATCCTTGCACTTAACTCGGGAGGCATGATTTTCAAGATCATGGAATTTATAATACGGTAGAAACTGTCCTCATGGTAGAGGGGAACAGCTGCGTCTGTGGAACGCGGCCATTAAGAGTAGAAGATATTTGCAAGCTACTAGTATTTGACCACAAATGTCTTAGAAATACTGCCAGCATCTGCTGGGATCACCGAGTAAGTAATAGTGAGGTTAGATGTAGAGTATTATGGAATGGTGGTAAATCAGTTGATGAGGTTGTGAATCTTCATCGACTGAGGTGGTTGGGTCACGTATTACGTGTTCCTGAACAGCGATTACCACGACGCACAATGCTGACTGGGGAGGTCAAACGAAAACGTGGCATCACTTCTTGAGGTCACTAACTCCTGATCCGGACCATGTTGGTAGGTGCAGACTACTTGGTTGGGGTCCGCGTGACTATCGTAACCAATGGTTGGAGACTCTGTGTGACATGCCTCAGAATCCATCACAATCGTGTAGGTGTATACACTCTTTGTCTTCACCTAAACCGTGAGATTAAAATTACCTTATACCTTTCTTTCTACGAACTAATTCCTTCTGTATTATATTCTTAAATGCAATCTTTCTTTTATATATTAATAACACTGAAGTAACCACTAAGAAGCTGATGTTCATCTTCTTGTGTTAATGAGGTATGTTAACTTGAACTGATGTATACATGTGCGTGGTCCTACGTTGTAGCTAACTGACTGAAACCGACGCAAATGGTTTTGTGCTAAAAGGAAGATTTCAATTAGTAACTATTATAACTTTCGAAGCGGACAAGTTTATCATTAGTGAAAAATCAAAGTTCATAGTTCACCAAAACCCAAATATCATGCAAACCTTCGTTATGTTTCATTTATTGATTTTTATTTATTTAAACACACAAACATTGCTACAAAAAGGTATCAAATATATATGTGCTACATTTCATCTTTCAGTTTGTGTGAGGGCTGGAACACTGTCCCTTCATTCTCCAATTCTTAAAATTTTCATTGTTATTGTATGGTGTATATGTATTTGGTGCCCCCTTTTACCAATGTTTGTGTTCAAATAACTGAATAAATTTCCCAATCTATCTAGTTAACATTTTATCCTTAAATATATGCGCCTCTTAACAAGTTATGTTCAAAATTGTTGCACTGTATTTTATCACTGCCTAAATTAATTCTGATAAACTGTGTGCTGCATTATCCAAATTCATCAATTGGACTAATCTTTAAATTACCAATCATTGTTTATTTTTCCTTTTCAACCACCCTAAACTAAATTGAGTAGCATATGTAAACATTACTGACAAAAAAAATAAACTGTTGCTTACAAATCTTTGACTTTTGCAATTTTAGTAAATTTATAATGATGCTCGCCAAATGAACTCTGTCATCAAAAGTGTACTTTGTTCACATTTTTGTCTGATTGTGTACACCGTTCATCGAGGCAACGTTCTATGAAGTGAATTAAGAAGCCTAGTATGCTTCATTACACTACACATTTTTCCAATTTGCACCACTTTTGCACATTATATTGGTAATTTTCGAATTTATATTGTTTAGTCATAAATTATGATTTTGCACTTTATTCAGAGTACCGTGACTACTACAAATTGTAACAAACAAATCAACCAATGTTGCTGTATAACTATCACCTATAAATGCGAGGTCTGAACTTCTTCATGTTGTCTGAATACGTAATTCAGTGTAATCAAATATAAATTGTCAATAATCTTTCCTCATTATCCTGATTGTCGTGGTACACAATTTTGATGTAATATACCGAATTATTCAGAAAAATTAAGTTCTGGCACATCGATGAAACTTATCGGTCACCATAATATATTTCTTTTTTCAAGATTGTCTACTTATTCGTGGGTATTTGTCAATTATCAAATAACTGAATATCGAGTAGGTAAGGGTATAAACCAGCACTACAGAATAAACCTTAAAATTTCTAAAGAGAGGAGTGGACAATTATCATATGACTGTGGAGCTAGCGAAAATATAATTCTAACTGCAGAAATCCTATGGATTTATAAAGGAAAATGGGAACGTTTCTGCATACCAGGAAGTACCCCAACCCAAAAGCAAGTGACCTCAGTTTTAGTAGCCCAAAGCTTTCGAAAAATTCCAAGTAGGGTCTCCTTTAAATTTTTATGAAAATGGCAACTCTGGAAAGTTCACAATCGGTTATTTAACATATCGTCCGTTATTAAGATACCTTGATTCACAACAGTCGTATATTACAGTGGCAAAAGACAATATGAATTTTTAGCTACCCACTGTTCATAAAACATGTATACTGACCGCAATATGCCTGAAATAAGAACATATTGTACAAACCTATCAAGTAGCTCACACATTCAAAAGCTGGTAACGAATTGCTCTTCAATCTTCCATAAAACATTCAACCAACCGTTAGTCATCGGTAATAAGGACAGTAGCCAAAATAAACTGTGATGATTTCTGAGAGATGTTTTTTGTCAAAAATCCTGTGCCTGCTCAAACGTAAGATTGGCAAAATTTGTTTGGGTACAGTGTTCGTGTCGTCGACCGCTTGATGAGAAAAATGAAATCTAATAACTGATTTGTTCAGTCGAGATTTTTAGTCTTGCATGTGCAAAAAATAGTTTTTATTGGGTGGATATACTTAAATAAGATATGCGATATCTAAATAAAGATAATGTAGCGGTAAATAAATTCCAAGGATCAATAGCTCTGTAAGTCTTCGATATTTGTTAATGATCGCCTTAGTATAAAGGATGTGATTGGCATAATGAAAACAATTATTATCACAGCCAACTGTACCAGTGATTTTTTTACTGTACCTGTCTGCTTAAGTGTACCAAAAAGCACTTCCGTTCTTTGTGAACTTGCACGAACTCTCGTACGCTCAGTAGTCTCGCTTGTGGATTTCGGTACGATCTCGGTATTATTTCGATACCACGAGATCCCCAACAAATACATCTTAACTACGACCTTTAAGTGCTTTCTGATATTTGGCCTACAGAGGTGTCTAACCTGGTAACTGACACGTGGTCTTCCTGTAGTGGTGATCATAGTCAACCGCGACACGACACCAACTACAAGTTTTTAGGAACTCACCTAGCTGAAGGCACTCGTTCATGTATTTGCATCAGATCATAATTGGGCACGCCATGCTACGTGTCACCTACGAGTAGTCTTTAGTGACTCACATTTATCACGAGAACACGACTGGTTTAATAAAAACAATTATTATTATAACCAACTGTACCAGTGTTTGTTTTAACGTGTTTCTGTTTGACTGTGCTAATGACAGCTATTTTGTGCTTCTATTCTTATACACACACTTTGATTGTAACTGCGCGCGAATTCGGTTACGTTCTGTAACTAAGCTTCTATCCTGGCACGATCTCGGTATCCTTTGTATGCCACGAGATCGCCAGCGAATATATCTCGATTTGGTCCATTAACTGTCTTCTGATATTTGGCTTCTCGCGGATTTTATGGATTTATTTGGTTACGTTCAACCTTCGCCTTCTGAAATACTTGGTACGGGTTTCTCTGTAGCGGTGTTCATAGTTAACCTCAACTCGACGCTACGCTACAAGTCAATTTAGATTATTTACTTCTCGATATATCGACATTATATCAAATATATCTTCGAACCCCTTCGCTTCTAACCTCCGACTTTACCAAGTTGTCATATTCCGTTTATAAAAGGTGTAAATGGTTAAAGAGTTGTCAAACTCCGAATACTTATGGCATCTTTAGTCACATCTCGTCCTAGAAATTGGAGAAATGTTTACTTTTGGAATTTACTGCTACAGGTTTAACTTTTAGGCATCAACTTCTTGACCATCAAACTATTTCAAATAGATTGGTTTGGGTCCCTAGCCTATCAAGGTCGCTGTATACAACCCTTCACATGCAACGTTATTTACGAAAAAGAGTAATGATAACATATGCGCGATCAACAATTCGTTAACGTAAAGTAAGAAACATGTGTGACTTAAGGTAGTACCCTGCGATGGGTCACCGTTTACGAGCTTCCGTACAGACAAAGTTTCACTAACTCTCACGCTCCGGTTTCAGCCCGCGACAGACGTTCACCGTACAACTTAGAGATCTGAATGTGTCCCAGATGAAACACCATTACAACTCCACTGTTGAAACATATACATATATTTTTTATTCATAAGCAGACCTATATCTCGACCTATCACCAAATCTGCTCCTGCCACTAATGGATTAGTTTGGCACGAAAATTCATTGGGAAAATCTTGCTGTTTGGGAGTCAAAAGATTACCTGATTCAGTGCATACAGGCAAACTATCCAGAATAAAATTTCCAGTCTTTTAACTTTTATACTAGATAGACAACCAAGTCTACAGTCAGGCGAGCCTTCTACTTCCTCCCGACCCTCCGAGAGTTGAGATTTGGAAGGATACATGCATATTATCCCTATGAGAAATGTCTACACCTACTCCATTTAATATGTCTGAGTCTTCATATAGATGTAGTGAGAGAAACACATCACTTTCTGCTTTTAATACATAAAAATTGTCGTTTGAAAAAGACACTACTATCGTCCTGAGTTTTTTCTTGTTGTTGATAGATCATGAGATGGTTGTTTTGCATAGGTTCCTGACCTTATAACGTTCAGAACCCGAAACTCCCAAACCTTGAGTGAACAAAAAGTCCCAAAAATCTTACTTTCCGCATGATCGTTGTTTGTAGCGGGATGTCACATTTTAAGATCTGTAATATCATTACAATGATGTGTGAAAGTGAGTTATAGTGGTCATGATTATGATTTGGAGTTAGAACGCTCCGATTCTGTGATAATGTAAGCGTTTACACTAAATTTTAATCCAGAGCAAGTTACCGTCAGAATATCAATGTCAAGTGGGAAGTTCATCCAGTTAGTGTTAAGTATGTTGAAGCCAAAGAGGAGAATATCCCTACGAACATTACTTGTTATTCGCTTGAACACAAATATTGGTACAAAGGAGCATTTAATACATATGCGACACAATTTATCGTTTTGATTGTTGATGCCACGTTTCGGACTACATACAACAGTATATTTGTTGAGGAAGGAACTTGTTGAATAAACAAAACACTTTTATCCATATAAAGGATGTAGACGATGCCTGCCAAATATCCAGTTTTCCGTCTTTAAAAATTAGTCTGCTCATTACAAATAACGCATCGATTTCGATTTTCATATATTATTGGTAAGATGCATAAAATGTCATTAAAAATGATACTTTTAGTGTTGCAGCAAGTCATCTGCAAGGCTTCCAGCATAATAATATAGCCCTCTTATCAGTTTGAGAAAGAGATGTTTCATTCCAGTTGATTGTTTTTGAAACGGTCAACACAACTTTGGTCAAGGCGTTTACAAAGTACATCTTTAGAAACTAATTATCATTACCATAAAACAGTTCAAAATGTCTGTGCAGATTGTTAAGAGGAAATAATACAAAGTGGTTTCTCACCCCTGAATAAAAGTGAGCACAAAGTTAGACTCGTTTAGGTAAACCCTAACTTACAGCAATTTATATGGTTCAAAGAGCACATTACAACAAAAACTGTGACTGCGTAGACGCTTAAAGAACCAGTGGATGTCTACTACATTACTCTTGATATTTCACAAAATCCTGATCTACGAATCTCGTATAAGCATGACGAAGAAATTGTTGGAAAATATTTTCTGTGTGTTACAGACAGTGTTCCAACCTCAAAACATGAACTCATTAGATGCTTGAAAGCATGGTAACGTACACATGCTGGAAAAAAGAGTACGACGTTAGCGAGGAAGAGGGATTATGTTGATATTTGGCGGACAAAACAGTAGTTTCTGCTGGAAAGTTTTCTTTATCTACTACCCACCTTTCAAATAACAAATCCCATGCTAATAAGAATAGTATTTATAGAAAACATATTTTTCTTTCCTTTCGCCCTAAAAACGTCCTTGTTACTGACCTAAATAAAACTCCAAAACACAAAACAGTCAATTTTAATTCAGATTACAATAGGAGCAGTAGTAAATACGGTAGAACGACAGGTTAATATTCGCCCGGAAAAGCATACATAGACAGATTTCTCAAATATTTGCACATGGACGTATCGAAGTGAACTTTCCATTCACCGTAACAGAAAGAATACGCTGAAAATTCCTCCAGAATGTTCGGCAGAAAGCCGTTGATATTTCCAGATTCTTTTTCCCGGTCTTGTGGTCTAAACTTCGCCGAGGTCTCTTGTCCAGGCTTTTATAGTTTGACTTTGATTAAGTAATAATCTTTCTCAATTAAATTTACTGCTGGATGTTGCTGGGTCACTGACGATGGAGCCATGTTTTGCTAAACTCAGGGTTACGGCGTGATTTCGTTGGTGATTGTTGACCTGTAACCGTCTGCCAGGTACGACTGTTCGAATCGCCTGATCCCATCTCACTGAGTTTTGTGGACTCAGATAGCGAGTATTTACAGATTACCTTTTTTTTGCTGTTTCGCACGTTATTTTGTACTACATAAATCTATGATTTGTAGTACAGGTTGTACTGTTTGGGGTATTTTGAATATTGATATAATTTGTGTTTTTCCTTATTTATAGAAGCTTAAATTAAGTATATAGTTTGTATTTTGATATACTTCATTGCGAGTCACTCAAAAACGCTTCGTACGTTATTACCGAAGAACATATCCCGGCCTAATGGGATAAACTCTGATTCGTTTGCTATGCATTCAGACCAAATACTGGAATTTCGGTCTTCACACAATCACTCTTTTTATGTTCTTCGACTGACCACAGCAATTAATTGTGTTTCAGTACTTAATTTTGTACTCCGGAGTGATGCCTTTAATATTACGTATTTCTTCCAGCTAAACGTTATATATTTGTTCCTTCCCATATGTCAGAAAAAAGTAACACTTTTACTGGGTTCGATTCTAATGACAAAAACTACAAATATCTATTGCGCGTGTTTAACTTGATGAACAGCATCACCAAGAAAGGCATTTCACAGGGTTGCTCAGAAACATAAAATAAATCAATCTACAATACATGAAGTAGGCATACTGATAAAGAACGCAAAGTTATAACCAATGACAAGAAAAAGATGTACCTGTTAATCAGAGAGCAACACTCCAGTACTGTGACGAATGACCAACGGTGGACTCGAGGTAGCTGTAAGAGGCGATATACCATTTTCACTGAAAAAGCGTTTGAAAACAGATGACATAAACTGAGTACCGTTGTCGGTCACTGAGATCTCTGGAACCCCGAAACTAGCAAATAATCCATACAATCTCCTCCGTACCATCCTCAGTCGAATGGCCAAGCAGAAAGATTCGTAGATACGTTAAAAAGAGCTCTGGTCAAAGGGGGAGGTGAGAGTATCTCGGAACAAGTGATCAGTAAGTTCTTAGTGTCTAACAGAGTTACCCCTAATCCGGCAGTACCAGAAGGAAAGTCTCCGGCCGACTGTATGTTCGGAAGGAAAATCCGGACAGTCTTTAACAGTATGTTGCCTCCCGGAAAGACAAATAAAACCACGAATGAAGATCGTAAGGTCAATCGTAGCTTTCAGGTGGGTGAAAAGGTACTTGTCAGATCGTATCAAGGTAATAGGAAGTGGGAACCAGGTGTCATAGAACGTCGAATCGGAAATGTACTGTACCTAGTCCGGAAAGATGTCGGAAAATGCATAAGACATACAAATAAAATGCAAAAATATGATAGTATAGTGGTCCCAGAAAACCGGCTCCCATTTCAATTGCTCGTAGATTCATCTCAGAAGAACCATCATAAGTGCAAACATCGAAAAGACAAACGACGCAGAGAGAAAGCTGTACAACCCTCGAGAGTAATGGACCGCAAGAGGAAGGCGACACCCAAGCTTCAGGTGGATCCAAGAAAAAATCTTACACAACGGACTTTAAAGGGGGGAGGTGTGATGACGGATCACCGGTGAACTCGAGGTAGCTGTAAAAGGCTCAGAAGAAGCCGAAGACGTTCCATCCAATCACCTTTCGGAAGAATGTTCTAGAATTCCAACGTGTATCTTCCCGATTGAATAATGCTAATAACCCCCTGAATGCGGATTGGGGGACTGTAATGATGACTTCGTTCTCACTAAAAACTATAAATACCTGACAATTTTGTACTATGAATGACACTGGTTGGAATCATATTCCTTTCATTAGTCTTCTGTCTTCTTACTGCAACTTGGAAGGGTTTTGGTGTTCTAGTGCTCTGTTATACGCGGTATATCGAGAAATCAACTTTTAAGATAAAACAAGTAATTTTCGTTTAGATCTTGACGTTCAGTTTAAAGAATAGTAGTCAACTACCGGAAACCATGGTGGCAGGTGCCAAGATTGGAGGTCAATCAAAAATAGATATAACATAATTTGTGAGCACCTCACAAATAAATGAGACGTAAGGAAAATAGAAGTTGTAATCAAAGTGAATAACAACATTACTGTGAAGAACTGAAATCTAACGAAAAATGAGAATGAGAGGGTGAAATATTGAATTTGCAATCTAGAGCAAGGGCAAAGGATTGTAGGTATATGAAATATATAAACGGGGGACTTTCATGAATTAGCGTGAAAACACAGACAAACCTGTACGAAAGTAGACCGTACACACAATGCTTAGAAAATCAGGCATCTTTGATTCGGTTTTTTGTTAGACAGTATAAAACTATGGATTAGTTCAGTAGATTCATGTATGAATAATGTATAGCCATTTAGTCAGCATAATGCAACCCCAAGCGTCAGAAGAACTGATAAAATAATCTCATCAGAAAATGAACGTATAGATCATGTAATCTTCAAAAGCTATCGAGTATCCATGAATGTATAAAATCCAGTTAATTCACTGTTTATGATGCTCAAGGTATAGCTTTCTATTGATATTCAGTTTTCAGCAAATCATACGCTATCTTCAGGTTTACTTCCTCAAATTTGAATGTTCTACTCCCTCGCGCTACTCAGAATTATTTACGTACAGAGAGGTTTACGTGAGCGGGATCCCAACAGTGTCTTCTTACCTTTAAACTGATGTGAATATGAGTTCAGTATTATAATAAAGATTAACTGCTGGTAATTGCGCAACTGCTTGTTCATAAGCGTTCTGAAGTTCTGAAGTGAAATTGGAGAACATACAATCGATAATTGTTTCGGAGAACCTTTACAGATAACTCTTGAGACAGTGACCAAAGGTTGAGCCACAGTTGTCTCAAAAACTTTCTTATGCGAGAGAGAACAAGGAGGTGTTTACGATATGTTCCACAAATCCCTCATAAGACCCTTACAAGGTTCCTTGAAAAGACCCAGGGAACTGCCAACCTCGGAATTCAGCAGTTGCGTAAATCACCATAAACAGTGATTTGAGGGGTTAAGGCTCTTTATACTATCCTCCACTACACTAAAAGCTGAATTATTTATGATTCGGTGGTGGCCCATAGCCGTTTTCTATTTTACACGTCCCCCATCTTCCTTTCAATAGAATCAGGGCAACTTAGCGGACATTACGGGGGGATTCAAAAGCCACGAACGGACTAAATCTTTATATTGTGCAGGTTTTTCTACCCAATAATAAATTTATGGGATTTAAAACCAATACAAGTGGTGTGTGGGCCTTTAATTTGTTCATTCTAAAAACTAGACGCACGAAGTCATAAGAAAATGGCTAACAGGAATCCCTGATACTATCCTCTAGATTTCAATTGTCCTTTTTAGGAATCCGAAGAATCAACACATTAGTCAAAAATTTTCTCAACCAAGATCTATCCCTTAAAATGTTGAAGAAGAACCTGAATATCACGTGTTTGAATCAAGCAGTTTCGATGTTTGCGTTACACCTAGTGTCCCGAAGGGAGTATTTTGTCGGACATGTGCTTAGGAGTTACCACTCGCAAAAAAGGATTAGTGACTACCTTACAAATGGCTACTTTTCGGAAATTCTTCCAAATAAGAGGTATTTTTGCATATGACGTAAACAGAATAGATTTCAAGTGAAAAATACTTGTTAGACCTTGAAACGACAGGAAACTTCTCTGTTTATTCTGGATTCGATCCTACTTGTGACAGCCTACAGTTGGGAAACCTTGTGGCTGTTTGTGGTTTGCTTCGTTGTCACTTATCTGGCAAAGATATAGTTGCAGTTGTATGTCAGTCACTTCAAGTTTTATAACTTCCTCAAGGTTGGTGGATCTACTAGTATCCTGGGTGATCCTACTGGCAGAACTAAAAAACGTGAATACCAATCCTTGGAACAGTATGCTTCCAATTCTAGTCTCATAGAGCACAATCTGAATCAGATAATCCATAATTACTGGACACAAATTGTCCCAGCTTTATCGATCTCTGGAAAGCTAGGTTCAGTTAATGTCGTTAACAATTCCGATTGGCTGACTCACAAAAATGTGGTGGACGTTTCGTGCGAAGTTTTGCCGCACTTCAAGTTGTCTGAATTATTGGAAAAAGAAAGGTTGGTCCATCCATTATACATATATTTATTATTTGACCTGTTAAAATGAACATGTAAGGTGACAAATATATTTCGTTACACTGCTTCTGTATTTTATAGCTTGGTATAGTTTTATTTCCAACCGAGCGCCCTACACTAAACCATCTGCAAAATAATGTAGGTCACGATTTCCTTCAACTAGCACGTTTGATTGTGGAGGTGAACACTGCGAAAATATTTGATTTTTCTATACACTTCCTGTAGTATAGTGCCGAGTCTAATATATTCTACCACTTAGTAGGGACTTCTAAAGACCTGTATTTGTTATTTTAACAGTTTAGTGTAATCTCAAATTCAAGATCATATTATATACTAACCTTGTATTGTATGTGAACAGGTCTGTGGAACCATAATTTGTAAACAAACCAATCAGATCCAGGAAAGTCGCGGATTTTGGTCTGAAATTCATTCATAAATATGGATATGGAGCATCTCGGCATTACAGCTGGTTTTAGTTCATGATGAGGACCCTCTAGTTTATCACACTAGCCTATAATCCTCTGATTGTACCCTTCTGTTCCCCTACTATTATTATTATTATTAAACTACCTTACACCAATCTCTTCAATATTGTTTTTTTTATCTTTTTTTTACGTTCCCCACTTTTTTTCTTTTTCTTACCTTCTCATTGTTTTGTGTGGCGCATATATATTTGGCGCACTCCTGTACCAATATATATGTGTTCAAATAAACAAATAAATCCCTTTTGACCCTAACAAGTAGTTGGATCTTCCCAAGGTTAGCCTAGCATTTTCACCAACGTAATAGATTTCCCCGTGTTATTCCTGATGTTACTTGGTGACCCGTTTCAACACTTATGGTCAAAGGTGTTATAGTTTTACGACCGAAATTAACGGCTGGTGTACTGCGAAGTGTATTCCAAATAAGTGTATTTCTGTTTCTATCCTAAAAGTCACCTGACAAAAACAACTAAATTATGGGTTTGTCAGCATAATATTCAACTCACAAAATATGGGGGAGTTGAATGCGGATAGAACACAGTTACTACCAATTTCCTAAGTAAGTTACCTACCAGTATCTTACAAGGTAATGCAAAAGAACTGCGTCATCTCCCTTTTTATGATGATTTTACCTAATGAATTTTTATGATATACTCTGTTATCGCGCGGCTAGTGTGTTGGTCATTTCAGGAGATTAGAAAAGATCATCCATATTAAAAATCAAAGTATAGAATGCTATAAATTAAGTAAGAACAATCAAAAATTACTCCGCTCCCCTAAAGTGCTCTAAAGGGTTATTACATCAGAATGATTACTGATTTATTCTAACCCATACCTAATGACGTAACAGTTTATTTTAACTCTTTCTGATCACATTTTCTAGCGTTAAAATAAGAATGGAAAGTGGAAATACTATGGATCTTGGGGAATTTTTTTATCCAATCGTACAAGCAATAGACTTCCTATACTTACATGAAAGGTTTAATTGTTATGTGCAGGTATACATCACTAAGTTCGAATAAACTTTATTATAGGTTGGTGGGCATGATCAGATCGGCAACATAACTTGTGGATTGAACCTCATCTATCGCAAACTTGGTCGGCGTGCTTTTGGTAAGTGGAATCTCTCCTAATGTTGTGTATTTGTTCAGAGAGTACTTTGCATCATATTCGTTCGTACCAGTGTAGCTTATTTTTGACCAGCTGTTTATTGTGTACTATCTATGTACTGATAACAATCAGTCATCGTAACTCCTCTCCGTTTTCTGTTCACTCAAATCTGAAGGGACGCAACATTTTAAACAGATAGAAAAACCTTATAACTTAGTATAATAACAGTGTAAGTTCCTGTGCTTAATTTCCCAGGAAACTGGAGTCAAATAAATGCGGATTGTATGACGATAGTACCAGTACTGGTATCACGATAAATTCCCAAACTAAACAGGATCTAAGCTGATTGACTTGAGAAACTTAATGTGATGAAAAGTTGTAATTAGTTTAAATACCAAAAAAATATTTTAGTATTTACTTGATACATAAATGCCATTAAAACTGAGCACCAACATAAGTATGTATCACACAAAGAAGGCAATGAAGATAGTTAGTCCGTCAGCTACAACGTAGGACCACGCACATGTATACATCAGTTCAAGTTAACATACCTCATTAACACAAGAAGATGAACATCAGCTTCTTAGTGGTTACTTCAGTGTTATTAATATATAAAAGAAAGATTGCATTTAAGAATATAATACAGAAGGAATTAGTTCGTAGAAAGAAAGGTATAAGGTAATTTTAATCTCACGGTTTAGGTGAAGACAAAGAGTGTATACACCTACACGATTGTGATGGATTCTGAGGCATGTCACACAGAGTCTCCAACCATTGGTTACGATAGTCACGCGGACCCCAACCAAGTAGTCTGCACCTACCAACATGGCATTTCCATATCAATTATGTTCTGTTCCCGTTCTTTCCTTATTGATCTTATTCTAAAATACATCCTATGCCTGACCACCGTTTATACTACTTATGTTGATCTAGACTGGCCGTACTACCAGACAAGTTGACCAACCAATTAATTATCTTTCGTGCTGTCAAAAGGGTCAGACAGAATCAACACTCATCTCTGTTGGTCGGTAGTGGTCATATTGTATATGGACCCAAAATATGCAAAGTGATTTATGGAATGCCTTCAAGATTTTGTAATAAGAATTGATCTTGCCAACAGCCACTAAGTAGACTATCTTGCTAATTATGTCCACCCTTTGTTTGTTTCTTCCACACCTCTTTGTATTTCTTTACCATTCGCATGGCGGAATTGATTGTTCACATACTTCATATCACGTTATTTCTGTTGACCACTACCTAATAAGTTTGTTTTCACAAGTTTTGACGTACTTCCTATCTTGATGTACATGTTCATGCTGTTGTACTGCTTAATATTCCTGTGTTTATTATTATACCTGTCATCTTATCATCAATTTGTACTTTATATTTACTATGATAATTTACTCAACTTATTTAATGCTATCATTGACTCTACCACTGAGTTTTCACAAATATAACTCTCCTAACGTCTTTCATGCACTTGGCGCAACTATGGTAAAACTATTCGTTCAAATTTAAACGTAGGCTCCTATAAAATATTTTGCTTGGTTTAGATGCTATTGTTAAAATATAAGCATAACTTAAGTATAAGGGATAATGAATAGGCTGTAAGGTTACGGGATTCGTTTAGTGAAGCATATGATAATTAAACTATATACCTTTGATTCAAATTCAAGCATGATTTAGGTTCTTTGAGTTACGACTATGATCATTGTTTTTCTTGGTGTTTTCATTGTATCGTGTAAGTTATAATTTATGACAATCATGAAACTTGATCGATTGCAGAATATTTGAACCAACCAAATATATTATTTTATCGATTAGGCTTAACTGTTCCTCTGCTGACTACCCCAGATGGTCAGAAATTAGGAAAATCTGTTCCCAACTCGGAGTGTGGAATGGATACTATATGGTTAATGAGTGAAAAACTGAAACCTTACAATTTCTACCAAAAGATTTTAAATTTGCCTGATAGTATTATATCCGATAAACTGGTTCGTCAGTTGACCTTCTTTGGACCTGAGGAAATAGATGAATTGTTAACTAACCATAAAGTAAGTTATTTGCTACACCTTCATTCAGAAAACTTATTACTTGTTTTCAAAAGATATTTAAGGTTAAAAATTTACACTTTCATCTTTGAGTGACTATTTTGTATTTCGTCTAGTTCGTGTTAATTAGCTATTTACAAAACGCAAACATAATAATTTTAATTCGTGGGACTAATGCTGGTTATTATTGTTATAATATTAAAGATTCCCATTGTGAAAATTAGAACACATATAAGCGAACAATTGTTTTCAATTAGATCGTCATCAGGCTTTACTCTAATGTACATGAATATTTATACGAAAATTTTAGTGGTTGCCTTGATTGGTTTAAAATTTTCGTATAAATATTCATGTATATTAGAGTAAAGCCTGATGACGATCTAATTGAAAACAATTATTCGCTTATATGTGTTGTTCTATTATTGTTATGTAATGGGACTTAATGATCTGAGCGAGTTTTGGATTGGTAAAGTAAAGAATCCAGTGATGTTTAATAAATGATATGGAATGATAAAATGTGGCCAAGTGATAATTCCTCACATGATCGAATTCTTGACGTAGGTTCCCCTATGGGATTGATTTGCCAATGTCTTCGTGCGTAAAATCATCTACTGTACAGGCTAAGAGTGTTTAGCACTCATATTTTGTCAGATACTAGTTTACATTTCATTCTGTGATGATACTCTAATCATAGAGAGGTTTTGGAATAATTTTACTAGTTTTCATGTTATTGGTTAGCTCTCATTCACTGAATCACCGGTTTGAACTCTCCTCTACTTTGATTTGCGTACAACTAGGGTGACTCAAAGACGAGTACATAGTTTTATACTTGGTCAATAAATTATATTAGTCATATTCTTAATTATAACCTTCGCCAATACTTAGCGATAGTTTAGTATTCACAATAATTTCACCATTTATTTTCTCTGAATTTGTATTTAAAAACATAGAAGCATCCTAATCGTCGTATAGTTCAAAAGGCTCTGGCAAAAGAACTCACTTTACTAGTTCATGGAGGTGAGTTATATTGTGGATCATTTCACTTTTTGTTTACTTTTCCAAGCCCTGTCACTCATGATTATATAATTGTCCATATAATATGTATTTCAGTGTTAACCGTGTGTATTCACTTAACAGTCATTTCTGTCTGATATCAATGTACCTTAGTACTGGCTTTTGGTGAGATAATAATAGTCAGGCTATACGATGGCGTCTATATGCAATGATTCATAATTTGTGATATTTAGTCAACTAGGTTACCAACATTTCACATACTGTCTGTTCAGTCTACCATTTACTATAGTTGCTTCAGTAAGTGTAATTTTCAAAATTTTTCACACTACTTTTACTCAATGATGTTTTCAAGCCATGAAACAACTGTTGTTCTTGTACGTCCATTAACTAGTTTCTTGTTATGCTCAGCGTACGATAATTGTCTTATTGCTGGTTACTTTACTTCATAAATTGAATGTAAACTTCATAATTGATAAGTAGTCGTCATAGCAAACATAATATTCGAACGTTGACTAACCGATTTTTAATCTAATTTCATGCAACTTAATAACGAAGTACAACGTTATATACTTTTAGACATGCTATTAGTGAAGGGTAATGCTACTACCTGGCTATCCAAACTGAAGTGGATTTTTGCGTAATTTGGATCTCTAACCAAGAGATCATAAGTAACTTTTTAATTAATATGCCACATTTTTACTCAACTGATGTTTAATGGATTCAGCTATCAGGAAAAAACACTTGTTTCTACCTTTTTAGTCTATGCTTTACAAGCTTCAGAACTTGCAACTCGAATATTTTTTCCTATGAGTTCTGTAAATTGCCCGAATGATAGCCTGCCAGTTGATAAAACCAGTCTGGAAATAATTCAAAATGAACTGAGTAGTTCAGAACGTAACTATCTCTTCTCCTGCTTGAAACCATCTGCACAATTTCTGCCAGTTATTTATCCCAAAGATTTCACTGATTCTTTGAAAAGATCTGGAAATGATTATAGTCAACTTTTAGAAAGTGTTTTAGATCTAATTATGCTGACCTCAAACTTTAAAGATCGATCTGAAGCTTTACAAACATGTTTCATGAGAGGTGTTGTACTAAATAATGTTAACCTTTTAAAGAAGGGCAATAAATTTGAAATGTCACCCGAAAATATACAAGCAGCATTTAGCAGATTTGATCAAACCACCGGTTTAGGTATCTTACGACTAGGTAAGTTAGCCTTTTGTATATGTGTATAAATAATTCTATTTCCCTACTAAGTTAATCTATCTCACTGTTATCTTTTGTTTACTTTGAGGGGCTTTGGCTTTAATATTTATGCCCTCAACATGCAATCAACAAAGTTAGATAACTGCATAAGGTGTTCAGTCTGCATATAATATACTCGTTATTTTGTATTATATGAACATGTAACTGATATACTATTTTATTGTTTTGTTGCTCATATTTTATTCATCGAATTTCGCACCGGAAGTGTCCTTCCATCACAGACTTTTAGAAATATCAAATAAAGAGAGTAAATGAGTGTGTACAAGTATAATAGATTCCGAGTACTGTTATTTTAAGCTACGAGCTGCGGACTCCTGGAATCTTGTATATATTAACTTAAACACCTGCAATTCATCTCATTTAGATAAACAGTGAATTATTTCAACGATCGTGTCGCCTTTTGGTTTAATCAACTTTCAGTTCAAATGAGAATCGTCTATGGTACTATTTAATTACTGAACTTTTATAGCTTTCATTAATTAAATTTCAAGCTGAATACATCTTTTTTTAATAATATCTGGGTACTAACATAACTGTTGATTACTTTTTAATTAAATCACACATATTGAGATAGTTGTCTCATTTCGCACAGTTACCCAACACATCGCCACATTCTGTACTTGACCGTTAAAAGGAAAGCTAGCCTGTTAATGACATTATTGACATGATAATCAAATATTTTAAATCTATGCAGAGTTTCTATCAGCGACCATTTTATTCAACTGTTTACTACATATAGTAGCTACTTAAGAATAAGTGCAAAGGGTAGGTTTATATGTACTATTTTTAGAATATCTGGCTCACGATTTAATATTCAGTTTAGGCTTTATCTGCCGATCAGTTAAAAGTCAAGTTGAATAGTTCCGTAACTGTGTACTTTTCATTCCTTGTTTGATTATCGTTTCATTTTGTTATTTGTAGGTAAAAATGAACATTGGTTTGTCGCAACTAAATCGAATTTCACTCAATAGACTCTTTCTAAAATGTATAGTTGTAATATAACATGTGTGTATTGTAAATGTGTAAAAATTGTTCATTGTTATTTCCGACAAGTTAAAGTTTCGTTTACCTCTGCTTGTGATGATTACAATTTCTTAAAAATGAACTTAGTGTGCATATGGCTGTAAATGAATTAATTTTATCAAGAAAGATTCGAGAAATTCCGTACTTCGTTGGGTATGTCCTAACGTGATACATAAAATTTCCTAAAGTCAGTCAGTCAGTAACAACGTAGAACTTCGTACGTACGTACATCAGTTCGAGTTGCCACACCACATTAGCACAGAGATGCAGTTGTCGATTCAAATCCCGTAGTGGTAGAGGGGGTAAGAGTATAAGCAGTAATCAGAAAGATTAGGGTTTGAAGATGTTATTCAAGTAGTATAATCCAGTTAGATAAATTTAAAAAGAGGAAAAAAAGGGGCATAAAGAATTCAGAAGATTAGGATTTGAAACAACACAAAGAGTGCAAACGATTTTGAGCCATGTCATTCAGGGTCTCTAACCATCGGTTGCTATTATCTGGCGCTCCCCAACCAGGTATTCTACACCTACTAATATGACTCAGTCTACCTGTCAGTGACTTCATGAACTTGTGACATATTTTGGTCTGGCCGCCCCTAACTTTCTTCCAACCTACTTTTATACCATTGAACATCGCACATCGAGGCAGTTGGTGGTTGGGCATACGTAACACATGTCCCAGCCATCTCAACTGATGAAGTTTCACCACTTCATCAATCGATTCGCCATCCTTACCTAGTACCCGTTTCCTAACAACTGCGTTACTTACTCGATGGTCCCAGGATATACGAGCAATGCTTCGAAGACATCTATGATCGAATATTAGTAACCTACGAATGTCCTCTACTCTTACCGGCCATGTTTCACTGATTCTGTCTAAAGTTTAACTTCATATGGTGTCGTAAGCACGTTATAGATGATTATTAGTTGGTCGAAATCAAGTTTAATTTGCACTGCCAAAAATCATTGTATTCTAAGGAATTAGCTAATAAAGAAGTTTTAAAGGTATAGTACTTCTCTACATGCTTTGAAAATATATAACATCCCCCATCTGTCTTGCCATGCTAAATCAGTGTTTGTTCTACATATAATTGTTATTTTATAGCAAAAAAGGAATTTCAATTCATTACTTTGGGTCTATGTCAAACTTTATGAAATATGTATATATCTTAAGGGTAACAATAGAAATTCAGTGTCATTTCAGAATTAATGACCAACATTTGCTGAAACTGGATGGACCTACCATTAAACTTCGTTCCATATCATTATTAATAGCATCAAGATTTTTGTTCAAAGTACCAGTTTCGAAAAAAGTAAGATGTATACCAAAAGCGGTAGTATTTACAATGAAAATTATTCAGTAGACTGCGATTTGATAGGATCTATGATCTGGTTAGCACATTTTACACTGAGATCCATAAACTTACGCGTTTGGGTTGAAATTCGACATTATATCCGTCTTCGTAAGAAGGAACGAGTAAAGGTTAAGTAATCAAGAGGTGATTAAGGGCGCAAGTGATGCGGTTGTTATGGTGAATACACAGCGGCTTACTGATCTCAAAGATATATATTTTCGTCCGTAAGTGTATTAAATTTTGTAAGTCTTTTATTGGGAAAGGTAGTGAGGAAAGATCTAGCAGATATATCATTTACACCTTATCCTACGTTTTTTTCATGGGTTCAGTTTACAGTAAAGTATTCATAATATACATTCTTAAAGAAAACAATGTAAGTTTTGGATAAATTTAAGGCCTGAAATTCGATGCGTTTATAACTTGGATGCTTGTGTACTGCCGTGATACACTTAACAGGCACCATGTAGTTTAAATACATCTATTTCGATCAAATATTTTGCTGGAACTCATGGCTGTACAGATTTATTATATTTTCTGAGTAAGAAACGTTTTTTACTCAAAATCCCCTATCACCCAAACTTTCTCCTATCAAAGTTATGATTTCTCTATGTAGATTTAGTAGGGATCATTCTCTTCCCTTCCACTGAACTGATACAGCACGCTGTAACAAATAAATGATGAGGTAATATTTGTGGCTCAGGATAAAGACATTGAGGGTGTTGTGTTCTCTTGGCTGGATGATTTACTTGTGAACCTTTCGTTGTATTTACATACTGCATATGGTGAAAACAGCTCATTGAGTTTTTTTAACTGGGTTGCAAACCAGTTTACTATGAGGAATAGTGATGTGTGGGCGAGAATGATTGGCTGTCTGCTGAGTCAGATATATAGATAGTTTGACAGGTGTCAGGTGAGTTATATATTCCCCTATCCCTATAATTGTTGTTATTAATTATTCATTGTTTTTGGATTGTGTCGGGTTTGGTGTGGAAATATATTTACGTTGTGATCAGGTTAATCACATGTTCTTGATGTGAGTTGTGTTGAAGTCCTGTAGAATAGACACTGAAAGGAGATCTAGTGTAGATATTCGTTCAAGGTAAATTAATGTTTCATACATGTAAACGTGGAAAACCAACCGTTATAATGAATAGTCAATAAAGCGTATTTCACAGGGAATTGACGTAGTATGAATTCCTATGTTACATTAAATAACAAGCATTCTATTAAGAAAATCCGTGAACTGTCAGCGTGGGGGCTTGCTAAGTATGCAGTTCTACACTACGATCTGATTTTGGTTAGATAGTTATTGAAAACTGGAACATCGGTCATCCGTTTCGTGCCACTGTGACGACCCTCAGCAGTGTTCATTCACTACCATATCAAAAATAAAAATCACGACCTTCCGGTTTAACGATAAGCACGATCTAGTGGTTTACATTCCTAACTAAAGGCAATCAACAAAATTGGCGACCATTATCCAATGCCTTGAGTTTCACGTCCGACTTGATTGGACCTCACTAGCTGCTGCTTGTCTAAAACTCTGGGTATCACTTCTCACATTTAATCGCTGATAAAAACTGGATAATTGTTAGTTAATGGGGTTGGCTGAAGTTATGAATCTTAACAATGGGATACCAACTCGGTAGTTTGAAGGTCAAGTGTTTGATTCTAGACACGAAGGTTCCAAGTTTATTGCCAAGTGTGATCTTGGATAGCATTATTGAGTAGTCCAGTCCTAAGCAGTAAAAGCTGTCTAGTGCTTCCTGGTTTCCAAAGGCAGTTTAACTAAAGACGGTCCATAAATGTATGTACGAATTGGATTATGTTTTCACTATTGGAAATTAAATATGTAATCCATTGCAATTTATGGGTGTTAAGCGACTTAGTAACTACATACACTTGACGCGATCAGTGATAATAGAATGACAGTAGAAACAGCGAGAAGCAGTTATGTTCAATTAGCCATTTTAAATGTTAATAATCACTAATCGTGGATTTTACAACTGTCATTAAACCAATAAGTAAACATCCAATTAAAACTACGAAAATCACTCTCAACTAAGCAAAGATGGATAATGGCTAGGATTGGAGTCCAGGACGCGCGTTTCGTTCTATTTGGGACTTGTCCTGGATTCCACTGCCAGCTACTATCCATCTTTGCTTGAAAAGCTTGTAACTTAAGGCTATATCGAGGTGATACGCACATATGTCAAAAAGAGATTGATCAATTGCATTCCTAAGTAACAATGAGAAGATACAAGTAAAACAACAAGTGAATTTTCGCTCTCAGTTAGATAACTTTTAATGACACGAATACTATAGTATATTTGGACATTGTTGAAATTATATTTAATAACAGCAAAAATAACCTCTTAGATGAGGTCTTATCAATTACCTAAAGAATATAGAAATAATGACATAAAAAAATCGTAAGTTATAGATACACTTCATTGTCATGATTTTTAATATTAGACGTCCAAGTTCATCAGAAGTGCAGTACTTCGTTTAGTCCAATGTTCAGGTGGTTTTTCACCGGTTTTTAGTTCTACTCCAAGCATAAATGAAGGTCTGTCTGTTGTACCAGCTCGATTTGGATAATAATAACATGGAGCTACATAAATATCTAGAAAAAATGAGCAGAAATATTTTACAATGAAATAGTAATCAATGTAAATCTTTACAAATAAGTAAACTGGTGCCTCGAAGACTGTATTACGTTGTGTAGTGATATTCAATAGATACAGTTTTGATTTTACTCAAAGTTCTATCATCGTAATATCTCTGGGTTAGAAATAAAACTCAATGCAAATTACATTTCATAATCAAGCTAAAAACGATATCATAATATTCACGATAAGTTCGAATTATAAGACGAAGATTATTTCATTCAAAGAAATATTTCAGTCTTGACAAATATTGAAATCAATTTATAAGCCTGTGATGTACAAATAGCTAGAAAAATAAGATTTTATAGCATCTCATATGCAATTTGGTTAAGGCTTTTGTTAACTTATTTGACGGACAGAGTCATCCGTACAATAACAACTTATCTAGAGCATTTTACCTTTATTATTGTTTCACTTGTATGAATATGTATGCTTGAGCATTGATTACTTCCTACCCACATATTCATTCTATAAAGGGCGGCCTGCTTGAGCATCTGGGCTACCTGTTCCTGCCATCCAGATATTTCAACAAGTTATCTATTTTTGTTTGTTTTAATATACTATTATGTTTATTAATCGCATAACCTATCCTGCTGCGTTTCTAAAAAGTGTACAACCTTTCGTTGTCAAAGTTACAAAAAAACTCAATAATAGACAATGTAGTTGCTGGCAATATACAACGAAAGGAATGTACACTATTCAGATGTTCATTTACTGAACTGCTAACATCTAACTGGCGAACACTCAGTATATATATATATATATATATATATATATATATATACGTACATTTTAATCCTGTTCATTGACTCGCCGACTCGCTCACCTGCTTGATTTTCAGCACCACTCTTTCACGCTTTCTTAGCGTACCTGTAATTTGGGTTATCTATGAGTGGTGCAATAATAAACTTAATCAACGCTTCG